TATGGTTTCATGACTTGCATTTAAGTTTTTTATCCATTTTGAGTTTATTCTTGTGTATGGTGTAAGTTGATGATCTAGTTTTATTTTTTTTGCATATACCTGTCCAATTTACTCAACATTATTTATTGAAGAGACTGTCTGTACTCCAAATGCTCTTGCCTCCTTTGTCAAATGTTATTTGAGTGTAGTGGCTTGGGTCAATTTCTGGGTTCTCTTTTCCATTACTTTGATCCTTATGCCTGTTCTTGTGCCAGTACCAGGCTGTATTGATTACAATGGCTTATAGTGTAACTAGAGGCCCGTTGCAGGAAGATTCCTGCAAGAATAGGGCTTCCTGAGACTGGAGCAAAGCAGAGAAGGGAGAGAAGCCCTTCTCTGCTACCTCGCTCCCTCCCTTCACCACTTCACCCTAGGCTCCCTCCCTTCTCTGACACCTCGGCTCTCCCCCTTCTCCACTGCTTAGCTCCCTCCCGTCTCCACCGCCTCACTCCCTCCCGTCTCCACTGCCTCACTCCCTCCTGTCTCCACCGCCTCGGCTCCCTCCCATGTCCTCTGCTTCACCTCCCTCCCGTGTCCACCTCCTCACTCCCTCCCTTCTCCACCACTTCACTCCCTCCCATGTCTGCTGCCTCAGCTCCGCTCCCGTCTCTGCTACCTCTGATCCATTCCCTTCTCCGCTGCTTGGCTCCCTTCTGCAGTGCTTGGCTTCCTTCTACACTGTCTTCAGTCTTCGCTGGGTGCCTGTCTATGCAAATTAACCGCCATCTTTGTTGGGTTAATTTGCATATTCTTCTGATTGGCTGGTGGGCATAGCGAAGGTACGGTCAATTAGCATCTTTGTCTTTTATTAGTGTAGACTAGAGGCCTGGTGCACGAAATTCGTGCACGTCAAAGGGCAGGGGTCCTTCAGCCCAGCCTGAGGCCGCTCGGAGTCTGGGACCCCTTGCTCCTTACTGCCCACCTGCTGGCTTCTTATCGTTCGGCTGGCTACTCCTTAGCGCTATCGCAGAGGTGGGAGAGGCTCCCCAGCCATGAGCCTGGCTTCTGGCTAAGTGGTGCTCCCCCTGTGGGAGCGCACTGACCACCAGGGGGCAGATGCTCAACGCAGGAGCTTCCCCCTGGTGGTCAGTGCACAACATAGCAACTGGTCATTCTGGTCGTTCCACTGTAATGGTCACTTAGGCTTTTATTATATAGATCTGATATCCGGTATTGTGATCCCTCCAGCTTTGTTCTTCTTTCTGAATTTTGCAGCAGTTATTTGGGGTCTTTTTTGGTTCCACATAAATTTTTGCAGAGTTATGATTTGTCAATGGCTAACTTTCTCTATATTGTTCTAGATCTGTGAAATATGCCATTGGTATTTTAATAGGGATTGTGTTGAATCCATAGATTGGATGGGCATTTTAATGATGTTAATTCTTCCATGAACATGGAATATGCTTCCATTTGTTTATGTCTTCCTTTACTTCTTTTTTTCAATGTCCTATAGTTTTCTGAGTACAGGTCTTTTACTTCCTTGAGTAAGTTTATTACAAGGATCATATATTTTTTTGTTGCAATGGCAAAAAGGATTGTTTTTTTGTTTGGTTTGGTTTGGTTTGGTTTGGTTTGGTTTGGTTTGGTTTGGTTTTTCTCTCTGGGAGTTCATCATTGGTGAATAAAAATGCCATTGATTTCTGGATGTTGATTTTGTATCCTGCTGCTTGCCTAATTCATTTTCTAAATCTATTAGTTTTTTGGTGGAATCTTTAGGGTTTTCTATGTATAATATCATGTCATCTGCAACTAATAACAGTTTTACTTTCTCCTTTCCAATATGGATGCCCTTTTTTTCTTCTTGTCTGATCCCTGTAGCTAGGACTTCAAGTACTATGTTGAATAAAAGTGGTGAAAGTGAACATCCCAGTCTTGTACCTGCTTTTAGTTTTTCCCATTGAGTATGATGTTAGCTGCAGGTTTTTCTTATATGGACTTTATTATGTTGAGGTATGATCTCTCTAGTCCCACTGTGCCAAGAGTTTTTATAAAAAATGGTTGCTAGATTTTGTTGAATGCTTTTTCTGCATCTATTGATCTGATCATGTAATTTTTATATTTAATCTTTAATTTTATATTTAATCTATATGTATCACATTTATTGATTTGCAAATATTATACCAGCCTTGTATCCCTGAAATAAATACCACTTGGTCATGGTGTCTGATCTTTTTAGTACATTGCTAGATCCGATTTGCTAATATTTTGTTGAGGATTTTAGCAACTCTGTTCATCAGGAAAATTGGCCTATAATTTTCTCTCTTTGTAGTGTCTTTATCTGGTTTCAAAATTAGGATAATGCTGACCTCATAAAAAGAGCTAGGAAGTCCTCCTCCCTCTTGAATTTTTGGTAAGTTTTAATATTTATGTTTACATAAATAAATTATGGCTCATGAAGCTTCAAATTATTTATGTTCCCAAGTGACAGTTGTATAACATATATCATTTATAATTTTTGTATTCTTTAAGTATATTCATTAGCATATGCTGTAAATGCAGTGGCTAAACACCTTTTTAGAAAGGTTCTGTAGTGATATGGTAAAGAAAACAGAATTTGAAGTCCGACTGTCTGAATTTGAATCCTCTTTGCTTCATTTATGATCCGTGATTTTCTTAACCTCTATGTGCTTAGTCTCCTAAAATGTAAACAATGGACATAAATAAATATGGAAGCACTTTGAATGGTGTCTGGTACCAATGGGAAGCCTTGGCAAAAGATTGGAGGGTGGGAGTGGAGACAGTTTGGACACTTATCTTCCAAGCTTCCTCTTTGCAGAACTATGATTTGTCAATAGCTAACTTTCCCCATACTTATAGCTCCTCTCTTATGGCTCCCCCACTGACCTCTCTTTCTTGGTTCCAGCTCCCATTAGGTTCTGCTACACCATTACTTCTTCATACCCTTCCTCAGACCAGAGCTGGGGGAAATGTTATGTTGCTGGTTCCTTTGTGTCTCCAATCTTTTTTGTTTCTCTTATTCTGCCAAAACCACTATAAATAGCTCCTTCGTTAATTTCCCTTCAGTTATATCCTTTTGAGTACAGCATTTTTCTCTTGCTGGGAGGTGCGGTATGTTTTTCACTGTGACAATGGTGGGCAAGATAAATGTCAGGGGCAAAATATTTGCTTCATAAAAATTAGTGAGGAGGATTTAGCAATAGTCTTGGTAAAATATGGTGATTGCCCGGCTAGGGTAAAGGTAGTAAGTACTGATATATTTGAGAAATATTGAGCACTAAAATGTTTAAGAAATATTTAGGTTTCATTGTATTAGTGATTGATGGAATGCAGATGACAAAGAAAAGGAAGGGCTCAGAGGTGAAGGCCAGATTTCTATCTCAGGAAATGATAGAGAACTTGATCATGCTTATGACCATCAGAACAGAAGTTCTGCAAAGCTTTTAAATGCAAGAACAGAGTAAATTTACTGGGGAAAACAATGAGTTGGTTTTCTCCATGTTGAGTTTGAGGTGTCTGTGGGACATAGAGTGGAGATGATAATCAGACCTGGAGATGTACATGCAAGCCCAAAGCCTGGTATAGTGCTTTGAATTTTAGATGTAGATTTGGGGATCATCAACTACAAATGGCAGTTAAAACTTTGGGAGTGGTGTTAGGGAACACAGGCATTTAAGAATGGGCAGAGGAAAGGTAGCTATAAAAAAGAAAGAGAGAAGAAATAGCCAAAAATCCTATACAATAAAAGGGTAATATGCAACTCGACTGAACGGCAGGCAATGACCACCAGGGGGCAGGCAGACAATGCAGGAGCTGCCCCCTGGTGGTTAGTGCACTCCCACAGGGGGAGCGCCACTCAGCCAGAAGCCAGCTAACAGCTGGCGAGCTCAGCGGGGGCGGCGGGAGCCTCAGCAGCCCCCAAGGCAGCCTAAGATGTCCGACTGACGGCCTAAAGATGTCCGTCAGTCGGACATCCATCCACTGAAGGCTCCCAGACTGTGAAAGGGCACAGGCCGGGCTGAGGGACCTCCCCCATCAAGTGCATGAATATCGTGCACCGGGCCTCTAGTATATAAGAAGAACCAAAACAATGTGCTCAGTCCAAAGGCCAAGGGAGTCAAGAGTCAGAAATAGAGAGGAATTATCAAGACTGTCAGTTTCAGAAATATCAAGTGATCAGGATTACTACTACAATACTATTTTACTACTGAAAACAGCTATTAGTTTTGACACTTTTTTTTTTCAGAGACTTGTTACAGGTACCAAAATATAGCATATTTCCAGCACAGTGACCAAACACATTATTGGGCATTTGATAAATGTTCGTTAACTTTTCTAAAAGCATTTACAAAAATTCACACAAAGTAAGCAGTAGAGATTGAATGTCAATTTTAAAAGTTAATAATAAATTGTATAAATTTTATTATAATTCAGAATACCACTTTAACTTTGAAAAAGTTAAAACAGTGATCTAGAGAATAAAGACTTGACTACTTTGGATAAACATGTGGCCAGGGTAAGCAACAACCCAGAGGCTACAGACTTCTCAATCAAGTTTTGGGTCCTGACCTAGCTGGTTTGGCTCAGCGGATGGAGCGTCGGACTGCAGACTGAAGAATCCCGGGTTCGATTCCGGTGAAGGGCACATGCCCAAGTTGCAGGTTCGAACCCCAATGGGGTTTGTGCAGGAGGCAACCGATCAATGATTCTCATTATTGATGTTTCTATCTCTCTCTCCCTCTCCCTTCCTTTCTGAAATCAAAAAAATATTAAAAAAAAGTTTTGGGTCCTGCTAGGTAGTTGCTGGCATTGAGGGGGATTCTATCAAGCAAAAATGGTGAACCTTTTATGGTAAAGTCTATAAGGCATGACCATTGGAACTCTCTCCAAACATGTAATGGATCCTAATGGTGAAACTTTTTTGAACATTATCGAACAAGAGATGCAGGTGGTAATATCTATAGGACTAATATAATCTGTGCATGTGTGAAAAAAATATTTACCTTTTGATGTAAACTTAACTGGCACACATCTTCCTTGGATATGCAGGGATTTCCAGCAGCTTTCCTAGAAGACAGGCAAATGAGCAGATCCCAAGAGCCCAAATCACCTAATAGCAAAAAGCATTGAAAAAAAAATTATCAGATTTTTTAAAGGCAGCATTTACTTCTTTAGATTAAAGAATATAATTATTTTGGTCCTAAAACACAGGCAACAACAGTCTGATTATATTTAAAAGTCAATATTCAATGTGACTAAAGTTCAACTTTTCTAAATTTATCAGACCTAACATTTTTATATTTAGTATTGTACCCTAGGAAAATTCAATTTTCTGAAGCAATATCAAAACATTTCTTAAAAAAGAACTAAAATTAAAATATAACAAATTTACAAAGTCTCATTTGGAAATTGGGAGGAAAGAAGACTATAAAGTTATTTTAAGATAGGAGATAGTTGCAAAATCAAATAATGATCAGTCAAAACACTGGATATTTAGTTTTGGGCTTCAGTAACACCATTACTTTTCATAGGTCTTAAACATCAAATATACTTTCATAAGATTTCTTACAGAGAAAATATTGTAGTGGGCAGAAAATAAAATTCAATGAAAAATTTAAGACACAGATTTTGTCCAAAAGAAATTTGTAGTTTAGTTATAGACAGCACAGAGTTAGATCAAAATACAGAGTAAAACATGGACCAAAGCAAATGATAGTTCATTTATTTCACCAAGGACAAAGTCCTTTGCCAATAAATCTTAGTAACTTACCAAAATAATCTCAGAAGAATACAGTTTTGCATAATGTTTAAACATTTAAAAGTAAACATTTGCCAAAAAGATTAACATTTGCATATATTTCACTTATACTCTTTGATTTATTTATATAAATTTTTATCAATATGCCTTACATAAAATTGGTGCTTTAAAAATATTTGCCAAATTAATGAATGAGTAACTAGCCCATGGTAGGGTAGTAAACACATTTCTTTAGAGAGGGTACACAAATGGGTAAACCAAAAATTACCAGAAAAGGTTATGTATAAAAGAATTTATATTATTAGGAACTTCCCTATTTTGGATGGAAATCCAGTTTAAAAAAATTAAGCAATTTCTGTACACATGATCTTTTGTTGACCACTCGTGACATAATGTTCCTTTGAGTAATTACTTATGCCAGATCTCACAAGTCATTTCCCACAATAGGTGTTAGTGGTCTCTAAAAGGAAGATAACCAATGTCTCCAAATCTTATCTTTTAACAATTTCCCAGAAGGCCCTGGCCAGTGTGACTCAGTTGGTTGAGCACTGTCCTGTGCACTGAAAGGTTGCCAGTTCAATTCCTGGTCAGGGCACATGTCCAGGTTGCAGGCCTGATCCCCAGTTTGGGGGAGGGGGGGAGCAGGAGGCAGCCAATTGATGTTTCTCTCTCACATCGATATTTCTCTCTCTCTCTTTTTCTCTCTATAAAAAAATATTTTTTTAAAAAAATAAAAATATGTTTTTAATTCCCAGAAAAATGTCTTTCTTGAGACCCTTATACTGTCAAAGAAGGGCTTTATAGAAAAAAAAAGAAAAGAAAGATTAATAAGGAAGTGTGAGCTGTGACAAGTAGGAATGAAATTTCACTCTTCACTAATCAAGTCTTTTTTTAAAATTTCTCTCTCACATCGATATTTCTCTCTCTCTCTCTTCTTCTCTCTATAAAAAAATATTTTAAAAAATAAATAAAAATATATGTTTTTAATTCTCAGAAAAATGCCTTACTTGAGAGCCTTATATTTTCAAAGAAGGGCTTTATAGAAAAAAAAGATTAATAAGGAAGTGTGAGCTGTGACAAGTAGGAATGAAATGTCACTCTTCACTAATCAAGTCTTTTACAAGTTGAGCAGCTCTGTGCTGTCTGGACTATTGGTTCCTCTGTAATTGTTCTGCTTCTAGAAGAGAAACCTCCCTGTCTAACAAAAGTTGATCCAGGCAGTTGAGCTCAAGTTAACATATGAGCTCTTGTCCTAGAAATTCTCTGTTTGCTTGTTGTATCCCAAGACACTGAAAGATACACAAGAGTTCAAAGGACAAGGAGAAATGGTGCTGCGATTTGGGGATGGGTGAAATCTCTCCATGTAATTGCTATCAGGCCTTAGGCTTGAAGGGTCTACCCTGTTCCACTCACCCTCATTTTAAAGAAACTACAAGCATATTCCATTAGCTCAATCTAAATACGCCGATGATTCCAATACTTTAAATGTGCATCTGGCATTTAAAAAATCTTTATTGATTTCAGAGTGGAAGGGAGAGGGAGAGAGATAGACGCATCAATAATGAGAGAGAATCATTGATTGGCTGCCTCCTGCATGCCCTCTACTGGGATCAAGCCCAAGACCCAGGCATGTACCCTGACCTGGCCGCTCAACCACTGAACCACACTGGCCAGGCCATCTGGCATTTTCAACCAAAACCTTTGATGTGGATTCAAAAGGAAAAGATAAAGACTGTTTCATTCAATATTATTTCTAGCCCAAGAAACATTATAAACCTAGAAGAAATGTCCTGTCTTAATATACTCAACTAAATATTTTAAGAAGATATGAATATGCAAAGAAAGAATTTCAAATTATGGACTCTATTGTTTGGGTGTTAAACACAGAATACATTTTTTATATTCCCCTTTCACTACCCAAGGCACATGCACAATTTCTCAATTTGATAGAAAAAAAATATTAAGCCATAAATGTTTAAAAATGGAAGACACCTTTAAATAATTCAACGCATTCAATTTATCAAGAACCTCCTATGAACAGAACATTGTACTAGAAATATGAAAGTAACTAGCAAAAAGAAAAAGAAAAAGAAAGCAGTAACTGCCTTCAGCAATCTACTCGAAGGATCTAAACATTAAAAAGAATTTAGAATAACTTCTAAAGCATCACATAGTTTTTGAGGCTCATAAGAGTTACCCATCATCTCAAAAATATTTAATTAATATTTAAAATTCAAGATGAATATTTTAAAAATACACTATAGCATATAAATTTTACTGTAAAATGAATAAAGTAAAACTGAAGTTTTCAAGTCATCTCTTTATACTTCTTACCTAATTCTTGCTACCATGATCTGAAAAATACTGATTGTTTCCATTCAAAATTCCCATTGCTACACTCATTAAGTTCTACCTCAATTTTCCAATTAAATATTTAATAGACCTTTTTCACTTTCTTTTCAGTTCTTTCTCCAACTTTAGAAATCAACTACCTCTGCTGACTCCCACAGCCCTTTTTAAGAGTAGAAGCTTATTTATTGCATGAGTGTTATTCTGCATTCAAAGTTGACTTTAAAAAAAATCAATAGTCACATTGACTTATAGAAACTGGGCAGAAAACAAAGCACATTCACTAACTAAGTAAATCACACTCAGAAGTCAACCGTGGAGCATTTGGGATACAATTTGTGCCTTGGCAAAATTACAGATTACTGTATACTGTGAGCTTCGGGTCATGCTCACGTAGCTGAAAGCATGAGACTGGGGACGCACATGCCCAGTGTTTCACAGCGAGACTGCAGGCGCCCGGGAAGAGTCAAGCCCACGCGTGGGGTGCATGTGGCCTGCACAGTGTTTGTTTTGTTTTGTTGTACAATTTTAAGTATTTGACAAAATGCAAATGCCAGCACAGTTCACATCAAAATCCAGTTCAGCCTTCATTTGAAAACTGGGCAGCACCTGGCCCATGCCTGCGTGGCAGCCAGTAGCTGGAGCTAAGTACAGCTCCCCACACGTTCTCCAGTTGACCCTACTGGCCCTGCCTGCTCCCATGCTGCGTGGGCTCCGCCTCCAGGAGCAGAAAACAGGGCTAACCCTGGTGTAAAAGGCTGGTGTGTCAGTGCCCATCAATTGCTCATTCAGCAAGCGGATGATCCGTGTTTCAGCTTTCAATGAATTACACTGTTCATTGTGTAAAGTGATTTTGATGAGCTGACTTTAGGCTCATTGATATTTGGTCAGTTGGTCTTAAAAGCATATGTGACTATACCCTTTGATTTCCAGATTTGGCCACACTCTCCCGCAAAGCTGAGTAAGGTTACCTCAGCTCTGAAGACATGTTATTGGCTGTGTTACTGTTAGAAAGGACTGAAGTGTGACTTCTTAGAGTTGTTCTTTTTCTCAGGAGCCTGGAAAAGGCAAAAGTTGCCCTTGATCTTCTTTTTCACTTACGTCTCTTCTCAGGTTGGATTGCTAACGTGGCTCAGGTCCCACTTCTAGCTTGGCTGGCTCTCATCTTTTCTCACTCACACTCTCTCTTTGGACTCTTTTCCACATTCGGCCTGTCTCAGAGCTGTTGTCACAGTTATAAATGGCCTAGGACAGGCTCTTTCTAGGCATTGGGACAAACATTCTTGGTGTTCATCTTGCTTGGTGTGTTTCTTCTGCACCCAGAAGATTGACATTAGAGTGTAAGAGCTGAGAAGTCAGATTTGGATTTGGGGGAAAACAGGTAAAGTGGACCAGAAAAGTTTAAATAACTGGTCCAAGGTTAGCCATATGTGGAAAGAGAATTTTAATACATGATGTTGAGCTCTAGTGGTGGAAAGAGAATTTTAATACATGATGTCGAGCTCTAGAGGCCATGTTTGAGACCATTAAATCGTTATCCCTTCGAAAAACAAAGAGGCAACAGAGAAACTTAGCTTTTGAGGCTTTATATGTTAACTTATCACTCACACTCTCTCTTTGGACTCTTTTCCACATTCGGCCTGTCTCAGAGCTGTTGTCACAGTTATAAATGGCCTAGGACAGGCTCTTTCTAGGCATTGGGACAAACATTCTTGGTGTTCCATCTTGCTTGGTGTGTTTCTTCTGCACCCAGAAGATTGACATTAGAGTGTAAGAGCTGAGAAGTCAGATTTGGATTTGGGGGAAAACAGGTATAGTGGACCAGAAAGGTTTAAATAACTGGTCCAAGGTTAGCCATATAGTTAGTGGTGGGAAGAGAATTTTAATACATGATGTCTAGCTCTAGAGGCCATGTTTGAGACCATTAAATCGTTATCCCTTTGAAAAACAAAGAGGCAACAGAGAAACTTAGCTTTTGAGGCTTTATATGTTAACTTATGCAG